TTAAGCCTAACCCATCTCCCCTTCATATCCCGTTTTCCCATAGGCTTGATCTAGTTCCTTCATTCACTATGTCAAATCCTCCATACTTTCTCAAAATGTCTCCATTTCATGATACACTTGGTCATGTGGACCTTGATGATTATTCAAAAAGGTCTACATGGCCTAAGGGGCAAGCAGGGGTAAGGTGTATACATTCTTTTTCTTTTTATTTTAACTTTTCTATTTCCGATTATTTTTCTTTAATTTTTTCTAACCCTCTGTATTTCAAGATTTGTGTGTTTGCTGTCAAGCCATATATGGTGCTCAATGATATGTTTGCAGGGGCGTATGATAAGTTACTCAAGGCATTGGATTCTTCCGATTGACGAATTGAGTAGGGTCGTGCGGGACCTTAAAAACCAGCGCTAATTGGGAGGAAACCCAATTTTCTTTTGGTTTTTTTTTGCAACTTCCTATCTTTTTCGTTATTTAAATAATAATGCTAATGTGTGTTCTAGTGATGACGTCTTTTGCTAGGTACAAACATAGCTAAGTTCCTTGGCTACGTCGGCTACCCAATTACAACTACCAATTGTGGTGGAGGTGTCTATACCTTTGACGCTCCCTTCGCTTACCACCCCTTTGTGAGTTGTGTCTCTCCTTTATTTATGATTTAGTTCCTCTTTGTTCACATTGAGGACAATGTGATGTTTAGCTTGGGGGAGAAAGATTGTTATCATCACTTTGTGCATGTTAGTTGTGTTTAGTTTAGTTCTTTTGCTTTGTAGGTGTTGTATGGTTTGTACCATTCATTAGGAGTGGGAGTTTACATACAACGAAAAACAATGTATTGCTTTCTTAGTTTTTTTAGTGCATACTTGTGTCTATATTTTATATTTTGATTTCGAACCGTGTGCGGATTTGATTTGACTCTCTTGAGCTTCTTTTGATCTTAGTTATAATTCTAAAATTCAGTCGGTATGTGCTATACATTGCTAACTGCTTGACATTGGGTGAATCAATTGAATGGTTTGTGGAAAGATTGGTTGTCCCATATCAAGTATAGCTAGCCAATTCTCTTGTTAGGTCACCTTACTCTGTGTTTGTGTGATTGATACAATTTGTTATTTCAATGACTTTGGCTTGAGATTTATTAGTAATTTGACTATGATTCAAGCATGCCGCATATGATAAAGGTCATGTTCTTTAGGTAGCCTTCAGATGATATTTAGATACATTTGTTCCCATTTTGCTTACCCATGTTGTTGCCCTGCCCATTCATTGATATATAGCTACATTACAAGCCACTTTAGCCCCATTGGTTACTATTCCCAAGTCTAGCTACCTTGGGGAGCTTATTGATGTGGTGTCGTTGTTTGTCATTGTCAAGCTTCATTTTACGCGAAACATGCATGGTGGAATAAAGATTGAAAAAAAAAAGTTGTATTTATAGTTGAGAAGTGTTACTTTAAGATGTGAAAAAAATAAATAAATAAAAATAAAAATCTTAATTTTGTGAACTTCATTGAAAAATCCAAAGAATTGAAAAAAAAGAGGCAAAGAAAAAGAAAAAAAGAAAGGAAAAATTATTCATGACGATGTATAGTTGATTTCAATCTTGGTTTTTTATTATGTTTGGAGAAAGTTGGTGATGTCAATTGGAGTTAGATCATTATTTGATCGCGTTTATGTTTTTGCTCCCCAAGTTGGCTCTTTACTCACATTTTCCTAAATATTATCCTACCCCTTTACCTTGGCCCCATTACAAGCTTATAAAGTCCTTTTGATCGGCATGCGTGTTTTGTGATTGAGTGAACATTAATTATTGCTATTGTCAAGTTACCCTTTATTGCATCAAATATTTAAAAACTACAAGGTGTGCGGCGACGACTAGCTTGATTGGGAAATCGTTTGTGGCTAAGTTTGGTTTCAATTGTGGATCATGATGTCGAGTGGTTCTATTTGTATCCGAGCTAAATTTTGGTCTTAATAACTTTGGTTTGATTGTATGCTCGAGAGTTGAGTCGGTCTTATTTTGGTTCCCTGGAAGTCTTATTTGTCTCTTTTCTCCGTCTTGAGTCTAGTATTGCTTGGGAACAAGCAATGGTTTAGCTTGGGGGAATTTGATGAATCACATTTATATAAAGTTTATCGGCACATTTATGCTAGTTTTATAGTTGCTTTTTAGGTCGCAAATGCATAAGTTGTTTGTTTTGTGCTCTACTACGCTTCGTTTGTGTTTTTCTTAATGTTTCAGGTGATTTCATAGTCATTTGAACGCTTTCGGAGTAGTTTTGGAAGAAACGGACAATAAAAGAATGAAATGTCGATGAATCGAGGTCGCTCAATGAAGGATATGTGTTGATGGAAGCTAAATATGAGATTAACATGCGTGAGGAATGAATATAGCATCCACAAGGGTCGTTATGCACTTTACGGAAACGAATTTGAGTTAGTAACGAAGTTAAACGATGTTTTACAAAGTGGCAAAAATGACCTTTGTCTACTCTTTTGATCATTATTCAAGTTCTACAAATCGGATTGAATCGGCATCATTCGGGTTGGGTCATTCGGGTTGGGTCATTTGGTTCGGGTCATCGGGTATTAGAGACCATGGTAAACAATTTGACAATTTTTATTTATAGGCGAAAAAAGTCAAAAAATTCCATAATTTAAGGCTAATATCCACGCTTTTTGAGAAATTTTGGAGGTTTCGAGGGCCGGTGTTTAAAATTCGAATTTTGACGGGTTAAAACGGGTTTGGGTCAATTTCAATTTAAGTCGGGTTCAGTTCAGGTCAATAACTTACGGGTTACATTCGGGTCGGGTCATCTCAGGTCATTTCATGTTCAGGTTCGGGTCTCACATACTCGGGTCTAGGGTTGGTTTCAGGTCGGGTTTGGATCACCATTTTTTCGGGTTTAAATGGGTCGGTTAATAATCGGGTTTGAGTCGATATTTCGAATCGGGTCAACTTTTGACAGCTCTCCGTAGTACGAGTATAAGAAGTCAAACAATGAATATTGATTAAGAATTCAAGATATTATTAAAGAAGAGTATGAATAATTTAAAAGTCTAAATAATGCAAGTGTTATATAATATGAGCAGTATGTATTAAAAAAAAAAATGTAGTTAATTTCATAAGTTATACAGTAATACTAATACATGGGGAGCGTTTTAAAAACGCTTTTGGAGATGTTTGTACATATCTTTCATTCATTTTTAGTAGATAATTGATAATTTATACCATACTTATTGATCATTTATACAAATTATACCATACTTGATACTTCATATGCGACAAAAATTTTGGAACAAAGCAAGCATGATAGCTTAACAAACATTTTTCATGGAAATTAACGAAAGCGGAACGTATGATGTTCATTGAGAATAAAAATACATTTAATGTATGTGCTATATTTGTCTGTGGAATTATAACATTTGAGTGCTAACTTTGAAAAGTATGTCATGGGATAATTTTTTAGTGCTAGAATAAGGTAAATGTATAAACCTAACTTTACCCAACACAAAAACAAATAGTAGTGTAGCACATATACTTTTAAAACATGTTATCTGTCATTTCTAAGCTACAAATTGAATCATTTTACTATTTAATTCTTAGCAGTAGTGCTGTCAAATTTCAAATCGAAATCGTTTAACTGTCCGAAACCGACCGACCCAAATGAAAACCGAATCGATTAAAAACCGATTTTTTGGAAACCGAAAACCGACCCGAACCATATTATAGTAAACCCGAAACTGAATCGACCCGAATAATGTTAAACCGTGTAAGAATCGAACCCGTTAACAAACCGAACCGAATATAAACCGAACTGAAAGAAAACCGAACCGAAAAAGAACCGAACCGTATCTAACCCGAAACCGTTTAAACTGGCAAAAAAACCGCTTACACCGAACCGTTAGCAAACTGCTACCCGTTTGCACCGAACCATTTAAAAACCGAACTGATTGTAAATCAAACTGGTTATAAACCGAACCGTTTATGAACCAAACCGCTTCTAAATCGGACCGTTTACAAACTTTTTTATATAATTAAATGGATTTTTTTTTTGACGGGGATATAATTAAATGGATTAAATATTAGAAATCTTAGAATATTTTTTTTTTAAAATAGCAAGGCAAATCATTCATTAAGGTCTTAAGGATAATCTTCACAAACAAGAGCAAAACAAACAGGCTCAGGCCCTGCCTCAAACTATTAGCAACACTACTGCCTCTAGTCATGTATACATTTGAGGTGATGAAACCAAATGAACAAAAAGCTTGTAATATTAAGTACCAAGGCTTGGCTGAAGGCGTAATAAATAAAATTAATTCACATAGACTATTAAGCATATGATTACATTGATTCTGTGAGTAATAATGAAATAAAGATGGGAATGTGCTAGTGACATGAATATATTATTAGGCTATGTTTTAATTCAGATTCAACTATAATTTAGTAAACTTGAAATGGAACCGATATGAATAACGTTAAAGTGGTTAAACAATCGAAGAACCGAACCAGTTATAAACTGAACCGAACCAGTTAAAACTGAACTGAAAAAGAACCGAACTAGTTATAAACTGAACCAAAAAAGAACCGAACTGTTTCTAACTCGAAATCGTTTCCAACCCGAAACTGTTTGAACCGGGATAAAAACCGTTTACACCGCACTGTTAACAAACCGCAACCCGTCTGCACCGAACCGTTTACTACCCGGACTGTTTACAACCCGAACCGAATTAAAACCGCTTAAGAATAAACCGAAACCGAATCGAACCGATAACTATTTAAACCGAACCAAAACCGACCCGTGAGACAATTAAACCGATTCCAAACCGACCCGATTAAATACCGAACCGATTTCAAACCGAACCGAAACCGAACTGTCAAACCGTTTTGACAGTGCTACTTAGCAGCATACTCCTATTAGTTCCTCAAGCTTGAAGAACAAAGAAGACAGATAATTATTAATAAAACAAATTCAAATGCAATACTAAAATATAGGATCTACTTCTCATTCTCTATATTTTGAAGCAGAGCCAACAAAGTTATGAAACCACTCAAAAGGATCAATAAGAAACGAGTGAAGTCCAATCCACAATCCCTTGTTTTCCTGCAGGTGCTGCTTCACGTCGCAGCTCGTCTGCAGTAAGGTAAGGTAGAGCAGCAACAGAGCAGCTATCGTCGAGATACCAACCCACACATTACAGAAATAATCATGTTTTAGTTTAGCCTTGGCCTTACTTGACCACCTATTAGAATACTCATTAATATCTTCCACCACATCATACAAATAAGACTCCTTACCATCATGTTCTACTTCGATGCAAAGGTTATTGACAAGCTTAGCTACCTGTCTATTACTCCCTAATGTGTGTTGTATCACCCCTTCGTAGTGTAGAAGCTCGACGTCTTTAGTTGAGTTAATGAGCTTGTCGAGAAAGAATAGATATGTTGTTATGTCCGGCTTGCACACGTGGTGGCATTGTTCGTAGGCAACGATGTTCCTGAAGAAGCTTTCTGTATGATTGTCAATTTGTAAGCTCGGCATCCTTAACACTCCTCTCTCGAACTTTAGCTCTAGAGGCTGTGTCGAATCCAAGACTCGTACCTTGATTCCTGCCTCTTTTAGCTCCCTCACTGAACGGTACATGTGATCCTCCTCGCCTCGCTTCTCTTTGTCCCCTGGAGTGATGCTAGAGTGGAAGAGGTCAAGCAAGTGATGATGAGTAGTTTTCTTAGGATTGCTTGCAATTGATTCATAGCTTCGTTGTAGTAATTTATCATCTCTAAACATCAACGGGTTGAAGAAGCATAGAGCAAGCCATTCTAACGAGGTCTCCTCCATCGATTTTGTCCTAGTTTCGTCGAAGATCTTCTTGAGGACTATCATAGGAAGTTGATTCTCGAGGGTTATAAGGTCTCGACGAACAGCAGGTAACATCCACCTCTTGGGGAGAAGTGTTGTTGGAGACGCGAATTTGTTTTCATTAAGCTCTTTAAAGAGCTCAACTATGAAACATCCATCAAGAAGCATCATATTTACAAACTCATCTCGGCTTAATTGAGTTATTTTAACATCTTCCGAGTAATATTGTCGAGCTTCATGCTCTATATCTTCTAAATCAGCCACCAATTTATCTAATTTACCCCTTGTTTGTTCACCTAAGCCAACAAGGCGATTCATCGAGAGCCACTTAAGCTTCTCTGAAGCCTACAGCTCAAGCAAACCACGATAGTAGGGGCCAATGGATATGAATTGAGGCGCATAAGCTCTTGGTTTAATGTGTCGTAGTTTTTCTGGTACGCGGTATATGCTGGTTCTATTACTATGCCGCGATAACTGCTGCTGTTGGTGGTGCATTGCCTTCATCTTCGTCTCCAAATAGTCACTCGAGTTCACGCTGCTGCTTGCAACATAGTGCTGATGATCTTCAGCTAACAGAGGTTTTGAGCTTATTTGCCTAGCATAAGCAAAGGGAGATCTTGAAAAATGCTTAAAATGTTGGGATATAAATTTGTTTCTCAACATATTTGAATTTTTGATGTGGTAATTTCTCTATGAAATAATGTGCATTTCATACTAGAGATTCGTATAATAAAGTGGGAAGGTGTAGACACGAACATTTATAATACTAAGCCATATCCACAAGACCACAAATAATGTATGAATTACTCTATTTTCTTACTCGATTTAAGTTTTGACAACTCTAATTATAGATGAGACCTTCTCGAAATTGCCACTAGAGAAAATTTCTTGGTACGTGGAGGGTAAAGGAATTCATAACAATTTAATAAACTGTCATACGAACATGCATAATTAAGCTTAGGTTAGCCTAAATAATTAAGCTACTAAAACCTAATCCCATTAAACAAAAGGCTGACTAGTTTAGACATAAACAAATCTATATTTGTGCAATTTGCAAACTCCCAAATCTAAACATTATAATAAACTCACTAAACTAACAGTGACTTACTAAGCGGCTAAGCTTAATTATATGCAGCGTAATAAGTGCGAGTGGCAAGTTAATTTGATTCAATAAGTAATTTTTAAAGAAGTCATCATTCTTGGTCAAGTCATTTTTTAATGGTAAGAATCTAGAAAGAACTTATAAATGAATTAATTTTTATGAGCAGATTGATGCACGTGAAAAGGTTGAATATGAACAGCTTAATTTAAGAAACATAATTACATGTTCCGACTTCTACCAATGTGGAATTCAGTAAGTAACCAAGCGTTGAAACCAGTTATAAACCGATTTATGATCGTCCACTTTAGAAAAAGAGGAGAAATGGTCCATTTTACAAGGTAGATGAGTTACCTTTATTATTACCAACTAGTGAGTAAGCCCAGGCGTTGCCCCGGGTTTCTACTGTTGTAGACGTGCAATTGATAATTCTTTTAAAAGTTTTTCAAAACAGCAATTTTTGTTGTCAAACTAAGATTGAGTTATTCTTTGAATATTTTTTTTTTATTTTTTAATTGCACCTTGTGACACTTATATGAATTTTTTTCATTCAAATAACATATTTAATATTGTCTTAGATGGTTTAATAGTTATTTGTCTTATAAGAGGTTGAGGGTTTGAACCCCCCTATCCATTTGTTTTTATATATAGGGACTACGTGGCACATTAACGTTCTTAGGAACGCCTTTTAATATATTATTATAGATAGATTGATTTTACTATGAAACCTTCTTTGTCCTTATTGAACTCTGATCCTCTTTGTTTGGCACAACATTAATCGATTGAATTTAAAAAAAAAAACAATATTTTGGAGGGTTTTTTTTTCGGCAAATATTTTGGAGCTATTAAAACATTGCATGCTAACATCATTAGATCAACACTATTGTCCATTGTCCATAATAATAAAGATTTCCCCTCGTGAACTAGACTGAGAAATTAGAGAAATTTTTATGATTAAGGCTTAGAATTTCTCCTCCAAATCATATGGGGTGTAATTAGAGAAATTTTCATGATTAAGGATATGTTCAGATGTACTTAATTTCAGTTCATTCAGCTCCAATAAGTTCAATTCAGTTCAGTTCAGCTCCAATCAGTTCAGTTCAGTTCAATTCAATGAATATGAAGAGACCCTAAGGCTTAAAATTTCTCCAACTTCTGTAAAATTATATAAGTATAATGGCATAGATTCCCCAAGAAGCCCATGATTGTCCCCCCTTCAACATACTAAAACTATTCCCGCTAAGGTCAAGATATTCAAGGTCTTTCATGTTAGTATGTTACTAAGCCAAAGTGGGATGGAGCCATTCAAATTGGTATTTGAGAGGTCAAGGAATCTCAAGAAGGTCATGTTGGACAAAAAATTAGGGAGTGGGCCTTCCAACTTGTACCGCAAATTCACAAGCGAAGATAACCAAGCGAAGAAGCCCATGATTGTCCCCCCTTCAACTTGTTGATATCATCATCTGTAATCTACGTTAATTATGCATACAAATTAAGCTCATGTGATTAACTATATGGTTACAAGAAGCCAAGTGTTCCAAGTTTTCATTCCTCTAATTTATTAAGTTTTTTAGTTTTTATATTTGATTAATTTTCTTTAAATGAATGAACCAAAAAAGTTGTTGTCAGAATTTCTTAGGAGGCCTTAGTTAAGTATGTACGGGTCTTACAAGCATGTAGCAACACTAATTAATTACAAAAGTAATTGTATTCAATTAAGCTCAAATTATTTAAGTCACGTACTGTCAAACTCCTTCAGTGGCTCCGTTCATAATGATGTCTTGTATTCTGTTTTGGGTGTCAAAAAAAAAAAAAACAATCATGGCAATAAACGTGATTGACAAGTCAATAAAAACTAAAAAGTGAAGTCTTTGAGCAAGTCGTTGGTATCAGTCTTCGTTGCTACTACTCCAGAGAAACCTTACAAATTTTATCACTTCATTTCTATAGTCAAAATCATCCATATATTTTTTTTGTTTGTTTAATTGAAGAAAAAAGATATTAAGATATTTCGTTCTCATGCATTGCTTTTTTTTGTTTTCTTTCTTTTTAAAATAATAATAATAGTAATAGTAATAGTAGTAATATTCATTGTTCAAATTGTATAAAAAAAAATATTCATTGTTCAAATGAAAATTTGTCAAGAATAAGTCAATTTTTGGGTGGTTAGTTCAAAATAAGCCAACTTTTCGATTAACCTAAAATAAGTTGACTTTTGAAGGTATATTCTTTTAATAAGCTTAATAACCTACAACCTACTAAACAAGTCATTATTTTAATTAAAAATAATATAATAAATTTTAATTAATTATTAATTATATAATTACATTAGATAGACAGCTTTTTTAATAAAATAAAAAATAAAAATCCTTGCCACCCACCACCGAGTTAGTATTAGGTATTACTGGAGTATCATGCTCATGATATTCCAACATATTAAGTGAAATAACATATGTTTAAAACAAAATAACATAAAAAGTTATGAGATTATGTAAGTGAAAATAAATTGAAAAATAATCAAAATTTCAATTTCATTTCTCTCTCCGCTTTAGCTTTCCCTACCTTTTCTCCCTAATTTCCCAACCCACCATTTTAACATTATCAAATCCTTTATTCTTCTCAACAAAAATTACAAAAAATCTTTCAATTATTATTTTAACCACTCAAACATGCAAGCACAAAATTGCTCAATCAAAGATGAAAATCAATTTCACTACATAAAAAAAAATGAGAAAATACAAGTTCATCTTCATGATAAACAGAAAAACGTTTATTTAGTGGCATTTTTGTAAATAAATCAAAAACTTTTGTCAAATGAGGACCCTAGTAATGTTGATTTATTTAGCCGTGATGATTGGGATTTTATATTGATTTATTTATGGAGCTACCACTGGATAAATGTTTTTTGTCCATCATGAAGATGAACTGGGGCTCCCTCATAAAAAAAATGGTTGATATTTATGAATAACATAAAGATAGGACAATCAGGAACAAGCATGAGCAAAACAAAGTTATAAATAGATTGAATTTGTTTTTGTTTTTACTTTAATTAATTAAAAATGTACTGCTAATTTGAATTAAATATGTTAATTTGATTTGATTCAATCGTATTTATATTATTTTTGAATTGGAAAATTTGTTAAAAATAATCTTAACTTTCATATACATATATATATATATATATATATATATATATATATATATATATATATATATATTATGTTGCTGATGTTTGTAATTTTACCAAGACAATAAAGACATACTTTCTCTGTTCTTTTTTACTTGACCTGTTTCTTTTATCACGCTTGTCAATACAAAATTTTAACGATTAATAACTTTAATTTTTCATAATTAAAAAATATAAAAGTTATATATTATGATAGTACTTATTGAAACGAATTCAAAATGATCCAATATAAATATGTTTTTCCTTACATATTATTCACAAAACATGGTTAAAGGAAAGGTAGTGAATAGTGTAAAAGTCAAAGCGGATCTAATAAAAAATAACGGAGAAAGTAATGTTTATGTGGCCTAGAAAATTAGGCTAAAAAGGCATCAATTATGCTGTAGCCTGTAGGACCTTCTTCACAGTGTACTTCCAAGTTTCTAATCTTGATTACCGACAATGAATCCTCCCTCATCTTGAGCTATACGGATCGGAGTATCAGCACCAGTGATTACTGATTAGCCTCTTCTGGTACTTGCTATTTATTAAGATTATTTTGTTGCTAATTGTCTTTGTCTTTGATTTATCTTGTGTTGTTTCCTGCAACTGGAATTAGATCAGATTTTAGCTTGGTTGTTAGTTGTTGGGAGCTGCGAGTAAGGTTTAATTCTACCTTCTTTTTTTTTTTTTTTTTTTTTTTTTTTTTTTTTTTTTTTTGAATAAATGAAGGTTTAATTCTACCGACAACAAGGGAAATTGGTCTTTTTGAAAATTTCCAATTTCATAATACATGATGAATTTCAAGTATTAAATTGATTGAATCATTCTTTGGCTTTTTTTTGGCACTAGCAATTGCAAAAATTCACTCATCACAACTCCCACCAGGCCACCACCCATAGCAGTACTGAAAATATTATTAAGGCTGTATTTTATTTTATTTTTTTAATAAAAAAAAAGGTTTAGTTAGGGTTTGTTCTCCTCGACTTATTTTCAGCCTAGCTCAGGTGTAATAAGTTCATTTCATTTCAGTTCTTATCTTTAATTTTCTTCTCTCATAAAATATTCAGTTTAGTTCGGTTCAATTCAGTCAATCAGACAGGCCCTTAGAGTAGTTTATGGTGCTTTCAATGTTATTCAAGTCAATTAATCCCTCTGGCCTTTATTTACAAGCCTATTTCCTTTTGTTTTTTTTACGACAATTAAGGAACTTAGAAATTCCATAAAACGCATGATTGGAAAGTATAAATATGCATGTGGGATGGAGTCTTGGAGAGAGACATAGAGAAAGAAAAGAAATACACTCATGGTAATATTTGTTTTTCCCAAATGGAATACATACCTTTTGCAAAGCATGACTTTATGACAAAAGAGGAAACATTATCAAAAAGTCTATCA